ATGTATATATATATATATAATATTAAAAGGCAAAATACTGAAAAACAACAATGCTGTGGGAAACAATGGCTGGATCTCAGTAGAGATACAAAAATGATAAGCAACAGCTAAAAAGTAAACGTAAGTAAACACAGGCAGAAATAGAACCAGAGCTTTCGGACAACACTAGTCCTTCCTCAGTGGTGAGTGAGTGAGGGTAGAAAAAGCCAGATAGTATAAAGTGAGAATTTCATGCAAGCATGATAGGAAACAATAGGCCAGGCCCGTAGCCAGGGGGGTTTTATGGTTCGGGCGAATCCCCCTTTTCTAGCGAACCCCCCTGTTTTCTAGCGAACCCCCTCGAATTTTTGAATGAGTCCCACCCGTTTTTAAATTGTAGCCTGCATTACAAGCCTACATTCATATGATATGTCAGCTTCAGAAGTTCGGATATTTAAATTAAAACGCAATTCCTTTACGATGGCACACATAAGGATGGCAAACATCGATAAAAACACGGCTGCCGTCTCAACTTTCACTGGCCTTTGGCTGAATGTTTGTAAGAAATGTACCAACCGGTAACGAAACCGGTCGCCGTCTACCTAGAGTAAATGGTGCAACCAAACGAAGATAAAGTTTTGCGACTTAATCCACCAAATGCAAATAAAGTTTTGCGACTTAATCACCTAAATGTTGATTGTGTGGTTAGTAAATTCCATAGCCATACTGTCCATCGCGCACACTAAACTATGTGCTGATGGAGCATTTTGGGGAAATGGACTCTCCTTTTTTTTCATCCCAAACAAAATATTATTAATAAATCAACATAGTCCATCTCAGTCATCATAATAGCCAGTCTCAAAATTAGGCTAGGAAGTTTGTTTTAAACAGCAGACACGCTACAGAACGGAGTGCGTCAAAACGAGTGTTTGTTAATTTTTAGTGATAAAGAATCATGAAACGTTGTAGAATAACTGACTTTTTTTCGTCCGCTGTTGCAAAGAAGAAAACGACAGATAGTCCTGGTGGGTTATTGATTTTAAAATCAATTAGCCTAGCCTAGATGTTGACTAGCTAGGTTCGCTCCTTGTTCATTTAGATACAGAATTATACCCCGACGACAACAAAGTGTAGGCCTTAGTACAGTAGAACGTACTACAGGTAGGCCTACTAGGCCTAGGCTTTTGTTGTAAAAGTTGAAGTGCATGTACAGGATACGCCATAGGCCTATATTTAAAAAAATACATTTTGTTAATTATTATTGGTTGGCCAGGGACGGACCTAGGCAGGCAGGCCAGCTTTACCGTCGGAAGTCCTGGGATTCGACGATGACGTCCGTGCACGTTTACAAACGCCATTGATTAGAACGAAAATAGACGCGCTAAATTTCGTTGTTTTTTTTTTGTTTTTTTTTTTATGAAAGAAAGAATTTATCGAACATTTATCTACATAAAAACAAGAATAATATTGTAGAAACTGTATTTCTAAAGATGCATGTAATTCATATTTTATTTTGTAGACAATAAATATTCAGTAAGATATACTAAAAACGATTATTAATTCTGAAATGTGCATCTCAGCTATTATTAATCAGTAGGCTATGTATTATGTTATAAAGTCTTAAAATAATAATTTCGAATTATGCTAAATTTTGGGCTCTGACTTAATTTAACGATGGCCCTATCAGTAGTAATGGCAGTATTTGTGCTTTTTTTTTAGCCATGTAGTAAAATAGTACTGTTATTATAAGAGTCAAGAAGAAGTAGTAGAAGAAGAAGAGGAGGAGGAGGAAAAAGAAGAATAGCTTTTTTTTTGTTTTATAATAATAAACGTGTTGAGTATATTGATATTGATTATGCGATGAGCTTTTTTTTTTTTATATCTTTAGGGGTGACTTAAACATGCCAATTCTCAGAAAATAATTTCTAATTTTATTATATTACCACCTTTTCATTACATAGATCTTTTTCAAAACATAGGCCAAACTGC